CTTACTGTGGTTTGTCCTCCATTTGCTGCTCGGGAGGAACTTCTGCTTCTTTCTTTTCCTTTTTCGCAGTTCGCTTCTTTTTAGCTTTCTTTTCTTTCCAACTTTCCACTCTGTTCTTCCATATTGGATTCCCAGACTCGTCGATATATTCTTCAAAAACGTGAAAATAAGAAATCGCATCACCAAACATGCTAATCCCTACTAGTATCATGAATTTTTATTTGGATTATGAGCAATACTGATTGATTACTCACCACTGTCCACAGTGGAAACAGTACTAACATTTCTAGCATGAAGCCCAGCATCCTACAACAAATGAATGTTACTCTCAACAACAACCGCAGAAACACATCCAAATCCAATAAACCTCAAATTACACGGAATCCACATATAAAAATTCGAAAGAAAACAAAAAATGAGTATATTTATATGCAATTTTAACTTCATTGAAAAAAAAAAAAAAGGAGAACCGCACCTGAACAGCATTTGGATGCGACTGAATCGGCAAACGATTGCCGGATTCTTCAGCTCTGACCCCGCCCCCTGGCCAAGAATTCAGATATCAAAACAACAAATTCAGGCAGATATTCAACTAAATCAAATTCAGAACAAAAAAAATAAAAAAAAATGAAACTTTACAAACTACACACCATCACCATACGGACTGCCACAGCGAATGCACGCATTCCGCCCTTCCTTGACCTCATAATCCAAACAGTGCCTGCAAATCGGGTAATTGCACTCATGGCAGGCCACGAACACCTCCCCATCGGCACCAAGGCCCAGCTCCTCGCCGCACGTGTTGCATACGGGAACCCTAGACTCCATCATCTTTCACCCGGTCGTCGATTCCCTTTCTCTCTGTACCAGCACGCGGAGAACTATGGAAAAATGCGTGAGCTCGAGAGTTGATGGTGGGGATTATATTGCGTCGCGAGGTCATTTTCATGGCGGAAAATAGCTTTTTGAAAGAAATGTTGCGGGAATTTGAAGGGAGGTTATGGTTGGGCTTCATACATCTCTCAACAAACGATGCTTGAACCTTAAGGACGATGACGATGCTGGCTTTGAATCTCACCAGCAGCAGGCAGCAGCTGGGGAAGAAAACCCAAAACATTGGAAAATTGCAAAATGTCCCCCAATTTTTACTTGAGTTCCAATTAACCCCCAAAATAGTGAACGTCGGGTCATTGTTTATGAATTCAACTAGTTTTTATTTAATTTGTTTTTTAACTATAGTTAGTTTTGGAAAAATGTGATATGGTTAGTTGTTAGTGGATATATTAAAATAATATTTAAATATAATTATTAAAATTGATTTGATTTAAAGTAGGAAAAAAATGATTGAAAGTGATTGTTCGTTAATATTATGTGAGTTGATGAATAGTGAATTAAAGTTGATATGAAAATTATAAAAATTTAAAACTAAAAAGATTATAAAAATTGTAAAAACTAATTAAAAATTATTAATTTTTGTTTGCTATAAATTGTTATTTGTTATAAATTTATAACAACAATTTCTATTTGTTATAATTTAAATTTATAACATAAACTAATTATAAATTTAAATTATAATTTTTATAATTTATATAATAAGAAAGGATTATAAAAAAAGATTTTGTCGTCCGGCCGACGATCGCGGACGTGCACGGTTGCGTCCCGCCATCACGGTGTGCACGGTCGCGTCCTACCGGCGATTGTGGCCGGCACCGTGCACGTCCAGTTTTGCAAGCCGGAAGACGAATTTTTTTTTTTTTTTCTTTTTAGAAAAAATATCAGGAGCAAAATTGTCCAAAGAGGCGGTACGTAATAATAGGGGCGGTAAATAATAACACCCACTTCATTAAAGTCGACTAAAAGTTCATTTTTATTCTATTAGTAAACAAACCACTAACTATACCATGGAAGTTGTGGTCAATTCCAAACAAAATTGAATACGATTGTTCCAACGTTACACTAATAAAATGTTTTTTAGTCTTATTTTTTCTCATGTAGTAATGTTTGACAATTATTAGAAAAAAAAAAAAAAAAAATGTATAGGATTTTGATTTTCAGCACAAAATCAATTTTTATATGTTCTTTTTTATTTGAGAACAGAAAAAATGAACTGCACATTTAATTTCTACACATACATAACTTGTTTTCAAGATTCAAAAATTTTAAATAAAAAGTCAAAAATATAACCATCTGATTAGAATAGATCCCAAACAGTGTAAAAACACAAATAGTTTTTTGTTAGGAACCTGAATCATTTGCTTAAGGCCAAGGGTGTCACTCTGCAACAAAGTCGAATAGCTCATATTCGAGGTCGTGTGAGTTTTATAAACGAGTTAAAGGCTTGTCTCAAGCTAGGCTGGTTTAAAAATTCTAAAATCTTAGAAGAGGTTTTTGAGAACAAATTTAACTAACTGTTTCAGTTAAAATTCCTTAAAAAAATCAAACTATACATGAACAAGCTCGCCTCAGCTCATTAACAAGTGAACTCGATTACTTGTACGAGCACGGCTTGTTTACAAGTCGAAACAAGATGCATTCATAAACTGTTCGGTTCACATAAAAGCTCTAATCGTAGTTGCAGAGAATGCTTAAATATTACAAAGAAATTTGTTAATCTTCTTATAAAGGGGAAAAAAAAGTTTTTAAGTATTACAACAAAATGCCCATGAAGCCCCGTGTACAACTAGGGCCCTAGTTATTCCGTAGGCCCGGTCGTAATGCTTTTCCAAGGGCCCGAACCAAACTTTGATATTCATTGCCATCTTACTCCAAATCATGAATGAGATCTGTAACAATTCGATATGCCTGATATGGATTTGATTGGAAAAATCAATTATTTTTTAATTAAATCACTTTTTTTTTAAAATCATTTTAACACGACTCCAGTACCTTCAGTATTATCAGTATAATTAAATAATATCATTCAAGCATTTTTACACAATACATCAACTTTAATACACTATTTATTCATTCACATAATTTTAATTAATCATCATTTCACATCACCTTTCTCTTACTTTTATATCAAATCAACTTTAATTTTTTATTTTAAATATTATTTTAATATAAACTCAAAATCTCACTAAAATCTTATATGTCCTCTTACCATCCAAGTCCCAAACACAACATATAAAAAAAAAATAAAAAAAAAAGTCCCAAACACAGCCTTATGCAAAACTACTCTAATGTACGTTATTAACTGAATAGAACTAATCTTAAAGTTATAATTTATGACAGATATTTTTCGTGGACAAAGTAAGCATGTATCCTAATTTCCAAAGCAAAGTTAAACTTCTAGGAAAAATTCAGGCATTTAAAGTAGAATTACACGTACGTACAATCTAGTAAGACTACAGGTCTAACCAATTGTCCCCGGGTATTCGTACAGCATACCAGTTTGTGAAGAAGGGCTTTGATCTGCCTTGTAGCAACTCGCGAGTCCAATATTCCCACCAGTTTACCCGATTGTATACACCTTTACCACTTTGGACGTGTCACAAACGACCAAGTTTTCCGAGTCAGAGGGAGTTGTGCAGAGCCAATTAACCTGAGAAGGCAAAAACACAATCACAAATTTTCCACCAAAAAAAAGAAATACGATAAATATGGTTAATTAGAAAAATACCTTGAGCTTTTCGAATAATATCCTCTACATTTTATAGGGACTATTGGCAATTTCAGCAAATAATTTTTTTTTTTGCCTAAATCTTATTTTAATTATGTAAATAACAAGCTCAACGGAAGTTTCTAGACCTTTCTCCTCAGACTAATGTTTGAACACACAAGTGGGTCACCACCACCATCATTGCTAGCCATATCAGCATCAAAAGCTTTCGACCAATCCCAAATCTTCACTGATTTATCATTCCCACCAGAAATCACAAACTTTCCTTTCTCCCCAAACATGGAAAAGGCCCTGATGAAGAGTGTGTTACTGTTATGATTTACGAATGTTCGTTAAATACAGAATATGCAGCCAGCTGGCTCTCTTACACGGAGGATACTGAAGCTACATGTCCGCCAATAGAGTAGTCCAATTTCAGGTCTCTAATATCATTTTGGTTTGTTGTGCTTGTGCTTTCACAATCGGCTTGGTTTTTCTTTGTTTTTGACGAAATTTTTGATTTGCTGGCGGTGGTTTGAAAATCGAGATTGATTATACTGACGATGCCATCTCCCCTGGCAGCAACACAGATTTTGCCGATTTTGTCGATCATATCAAGTTCGGGTAGGACTATTGAGTGCACGAAAGGTGGGTTACAGCACTGTCCAGATCCATTCTCACTGCCTGCATGAGGTATAATAAATTAATAATCCATATGCTTCAAGTGGCAACAGAAAGAACTTTGAGGATCAAATCCGTCTCGATTAGCTAGCTCACTATGGTTGGCCTAGCTTGGAAAGAACAGATGCATATTCACAATGAATTCAACATAATTCAGATAATTCTGTCGAGAAAATTTTAAAATCTTCGATGTTTTTGAAATAATTGTTAACAATGTAGACGAATTATGAAAGGTTCAAAACACTGATCTGCAAATAAAAAGCTTAGAAATGGAAAATCTCTTTCTCAATCAAAAAACAAAGGATGAGAGCAGCAAATTGCACTGTTACCAAAATCGATAGTTTTGTTTGCACGTCCTTTGGAGAAGTCCCACATGACAAGTTTCGAATCAAAACCCCCAGTGATTACTGAAAAAACGTGATAAGAGAAAACAACTGTGGATCAGAGACAGCTATTGCAGATACTACAGAGAAAGAGAAACAGACAATAAGAAGAATCATTTTTTCACACTTAAATTATATCCAACACAACCATGGCTTGGGTACAATTACATGACTATTTTGTATTCATACCTTCCCACGATCTCCAAGGAAGAAACTGAACACTGCTGCAAATCTGAGAACAGTGAGTACAATCAAATGAACTTAAATTTCCACAAAGCAGGCAAAGGAATATTTTGATAATTCGAGGAAGTAATAATATTGTGTGGAGATTATTACCTAGGCAGAGTTTATGGTCAATAACAGGGTCATCATGATCGAAAAGTGATAAGGACAAATGGCATTAACACTTGAAAGGAAATGCAAATAATAACATAATGCGAAAAACAAACCAAATACACCATGATAAACCAATGTACAAGGTTTAAGGACAAAGCATACACTCGTGTGGCCAGCTCTCAATGTTTTGTATAGGCACCGTTGGTGGATATCAATGATCTGCAACAAATACATGATCCCTTCACATGAACAGCTAGTACAATTGTAATTAAATTATAACGAGGCTCCTAAAGGCTAAAGATGCAGAATTCAAATTGAGTGACAGGATGCAGAAGTCAGCTACTGTGGCAGCCTTCTTCCTTTTATAATTGCCCTGCACCACCTCTATTAAATGTTAAACACTTAAACTAATAATTGGACAAGTTAATTAATTCCAAAACCAAAGAGGAAATTCTAAGAACTTCGATATATCTCTTTGATAGTTCAGTAAATGTACAGTCGGTCCTAGTTTCTTCCCGTCCTAACTAGTTTCTCCTCAAAAGGCAGGTTTTCACTGTCTCGCACCTAAACTGCCCGGCACACTTGGTTACACCACACCAATGAGTACGTAAAGCAAATTGTATTATCAATGCTGAATCAAAAACCAAATCCCTGAAAAAATGATATACCTTCACATCTCCAGCATCATCTGGAGCAGCTAGAAAAGATGATCTGGGGTGGCAAGCAATCTGCATGAAATAAACGACTTAAAAGAAAAAGAAATGAACAAGCCTAAAATTCACATGAAAGAACATAATGATCGGCTATTGGAGGCAGAATCACTTGGTTTATTTCTAGTAATCCCTAAGGGGAGCCAACAGGAGCAAAAAGAAAGATCCACATGAACAATAATGGTAGAGTATGTTCAATTATTTGCATATAAATTCTGAGGAAAATGAGCCAGCCCAATTATGGAAGTTCTAGATTATACTACATTTTTATTTTTATTTTTTGTTATGTTTAAATATTTCTACTTTAGTTTGTGGATGATGACTTAGATTCAGGTTCAACCATTTGTATGAACACTTATGCAATGAATCCATAGTATCGTTGTTTGCATGCATACAATCAAAAGTGACTGATAGCTAGACATGAGGAAAATGAAAATTAAGACATCAACACCAAGTTATACCACTAAACAATTTCAATGCAGTACCTTAATCAAAAGCAAGCTGAGTAGATCTCAAGTTCACAACTGCAACAAAAAACACATTGTAGGGAGGAAGTTTAAGAAGAACAAACTTGTATACCTGATTTATTTCATCCTTGTTATAGTCGTAACACCCTAGATGCTTCCATGAAGCTATCTGATATATAACAAACGTGTCTGCATTAGTACACCACTGATTGTAATCGAAAATTCGACTTTGATCATTTTCACATTTCTTAGCATCATCTACAGAAAAAAATGCACCATTTTGAGATAACCACATCTCATACACGAAACCAAAAAAATAAACTTCGAAGAAAAATGTACCATATGCAAATCAAAGCACTTGACTTCATTTCCTGCAGAAACATAGATGATATCCTCATTCCCTGTAGCACCAAACAGCACATGAAAGAATAACCTAAAGGTTAGGCAGACATGCCTTTTCAACCGATATGCTATCAAATCGAAACATCATACTCTAAGAAACAGCATAATCAAAAGTAAGGCATTTCATAGCATAAGTGTGCAACAATGTAAAAAAAAGTATGGAGGTTGACCCGTGTAACCGTTGCATTGTCTCATACGAAAAATCGTGATGAAAATATCATTACCAAGGCTTTTACGATTTAACGTGGAACCTAATGAAGACAGAGATAGAGCACGAGGACCTGAAACTAACCAGGCTTAAAGCATAAAGATGAAACAGGGCTTCCATTCCCTACATTCGCCGTAAACAACACATCCTTGCACCGCAAATCATACCAGCACGCGATGCCATCCTGTTCTTCAAATCGAAAAGTTAATCTAGAATCCACAAAGTGCTTCAAATAATCGAACTCCGTCAGCACTCGATTCAATCCATGCTAAAAAAAAACCAAGAGTGACAATTAGGGTCACTCTTGTCTATTGAGTGTGTGCAGAACAAGAAGAGATACCTCGGCGGCGGTAGCAATGACGCCTGGACGGCTGAGGGAAGCCAGACAGCAAGTGGCGGCGGCGTTGTGCCCTCGCAGTCGTCGCGGTTCCGTCATGGCGATGACGGCGTTGTAGAAATCGTGTTTGGTGCTTTGGTGGACGACTGGATGTAATGCGTTTTGACTGATAAATCCACGTTTCCAATTAGAATTTCTGTATGTACGCTTCTTCAAATGGAAGAGTGAGCTAACTAACGATTTTTTTATTTTAACTAAAGATTTAAACTTGATCTAAAACGGTGTTTTCAACACTCAACCAAAAGCGAAAACATGGACAAATAAGTTAAATTTAACATAACTACAAGCTGAAGTCGAACAATTTATGAAATAACAGACATTTCAACAAAGTCTCGACTTTTATCTTGAAAGATTCTACTTTTAACCAATCAATCACACTAGATAAGCAAATAAATGAAAATATAACAACTTCAACGAAAACCGAGTCAATCCACATGAATTTCAACTAAGAGGCCATTTTTACCTCAAACCACGTAGTAAGCAAAAATGGAGCAACTTCAAAATAATAAGTCGTAAACAAGGTACTTACTTTTCTATTATATGCTCGGGCGAAATCAACATAAAAAGCATGAAACATTATAATTGAAGCTGACAAAATAGCAAACGTGATTCATGAAGCTTCCAAACACAAAAATCGAAAGAAAAACTGAAAAAAAAAAGGTTAATTCTTAAACTAGAAAAGAGAGAAATAAAGGCTTGATGTTAATACAAAGAGGCTAAATGTATTTATATTCTCATCCAAAACACGCACAATTACTAAAAGACACTCGCTAAGTAGCGAAATGAATGTGAATAGCAGACAGTGCAAAAACAACTTAAGAGACACTCGTTGATTAGCAGAATGTCCGTCGTTGGCGAGTGTGGTCGAGCTTCGCGTGCGGGCCGCTGGTGGGTGTGCTGGTGGGCTATCCGTTGCACGGTAAGTGAGGGTGAGGGTCGGCGACGTTGCGCAGGTTCCCCGGCGACAACTTGTGGGGCGACAAGCCTTCCCCTGCAATGTTGCGGTACTCGCGAGCCAGCAGACTGATTCGCCAGCTCGCGTGTCCTCTTCCCTCTGCGACGGCTGCGGATGAGCATTGGCAACTAACGTGGATTGACCGGCGAGCCTCGACAACATCGCACGGGCGCACTGGGTGACGATGCGGGTGTTGCGGGCGAGTTGGACGACGTCGTACAGGGTCTCACGTTGACGCACGGGCGACGGACGTGCGACATGTGCGAGGGTGTGGGGTTGTCCTGGGCACGCGGGCTATGGCACACGAGTCCACAGGACTCTGATCGGGTCGACCATTCGATAACTTTTCTGTGAGTTTTCCAGCAAGTTTTATGGCACACGTCTGACGCCGTCACACACAAATGGAACGCATTTTCCTACAAAATAATATGAAAAGAGAAATAAAAAGCATAAGACACCAAAACAACAAGAAAACAAAAAAAAAGAGCAAAAACGAACTAAATGGGATGACATTCATCATATTTTCATGCATTAATTATGAGTGATATAGTGTGATATTTAGCCGTGTTTATCGTGGGAATTGTGCACCATTTTGTTTTATTTATTAATCTATGATAGAGGTATATTTGTCGTTGGTTTTGCAGGAAATATGCCCGGAAAGATGCTGAAAATGAAATCGGGACAAAAAACGACAAAATCGAGGTGCAGACGAGTCACACGACTCGTGTGAGTAGGTGATACGAGTCGTGTGGGTTGAAAGAATGCAGAATTTCACACGGGTCGTGTGGCTAAGTGACACGGGTCGTGTGATTTCACACGGGTCGTGTGACCAGTCGTGTGAGACTGGAAGTTGGCCGAAAATTCGAGAAAAGTCACACGACTCGTGTGGCATATGACACGAGTCGTGTGACGTGCAGAGTGACCAGCGGAAAATAGGAATCCTACGTGATTTTCTCCATTTTTCGACCCATAATTGCCCTACAGTATATAAGGAACTTGGAGAACACGGTTTTGGAACTTTTGACACCATTGAAGGCCTAGAGAAAGCACGAAACACACGAGGGATTCGAGGATGTCAAGATTGAAGATTCGGAAACTAACAGCGACATTAGTTTTTCTTTCTTTTCTCTTCTTCTTTTTCATTGAACTCATGGATTTGTTTATTTTGGGTATTGAGAATACGTTTAGTAGCTAAACCTCTTTGAGATTCTAGGATTTGCGAGTACTCGGATTATTTTATGAAATGATTTTATTTATTCATTTCGGTCTATCTTTCGTTTATCAATTTCTTGTGCTTATATTGATTTTCTGAATATAGAACCCGTATTTTTGCATATTTGTGATTGACTTGAGACCGAGAGAAGATAGTTGATTGCTAGAATTGGAAAATTCATAACGTAAGAGACTAAATAGACTGAGAGACTGATAGAATCATGCGAGGGAACTAAAATCTTAGGAACTTATGAGAGTTAGTTGTTCATCTTGAGACCGAGAGGAGATAGATAACAATTAATATCTACGATTTAACTTGTTCGAGAGAAATGTGTAAATTACTTTAGTGATTATTCCTATGATTGGTATAATTAAATAAGGTTTGAATGAATAAAAAATCTTTACTAGAATAATCCCGAGGAAAGCATAACCTAGAATCTATTTTCTCATACTTGATTTATCTTAGAACAAGCCTTCATTAGTGTTAGAATTTATTTTGCAATCATTCTTTAGTTTAGAATAAAATACCATTCAAATTTGAGTTAGTCTAAATACTATTTATCGTCTATATTTTGGTACTTAATTATTTTAACATCAATCTCTGTGGAATACGACCTTGCTCGCCGCTTACTACAGCTACTCCGTACACTTGCGAACATGGGAAAAGCTTAAAAATAAACTAAACGAACACATATAAAACACATAAAGTAACAACATAAATATACAAAACAACAAGCATCTCAGGGCATTTCTTTATTTTTTTTAAACGACGAATCGAAAGTTGGTTCTCCATCTGAAAGACCTATTGAAGTGAAGAAAGTCAAACTGAAAAGGAAGATAAATGTTGATTCAACATCAACCATCAACACCATGCAAGAAACAAATAAGAAACTTCTTGAGGAGCTAAAAAAGACAAACGAACAATTGATACACCGAGATGCAAAACAAATTCCACGCTTTAAAAGAAATGAGGGAAGAAAAAAAATTATGTTTCAAGAT